TTCTTTTAGAGGGTGGCTATGTTCATTCTCCATGGTACCACTGTATGTAGGAATGTAGCCACCCTCTCTTGCTTGCTATACTATGGATCATGGAATTTGTAGTGTGCATAAAGTAGGGCACATGAATGCAACTCAACTGCCATGCACTGCAGAGAAGAGGGGGGACGTGAAAAGTTCAGAATCTCATGGCGGATATCACAAGGAGGCAGGAAAACACAGTAAGAATCTATTTCATAAAAAATAGATTATAGGGTCATTAAGTAGTAGATGTGTATGGAATATTTTAGAAAATAAAGATGTTGTTTTGTTTTTCTTTTTTTTCTTTTTTTGTTCAAGTTCCACTGCATTTGCCCTCAAGGTCCCTCATAATTATTTACTGCAACACAAAAAAAAAAATATCAAAACTGATTTACTACCACTAGAGGGCACTGCCTATCACATAGTTCATCTAGCTTCATGCTAAACCTCATTCTGATTTACACATCTACTTTAATATCATTACAAATATGTTTGAATGATTTTTTTAAATTATTTTAACAGCAATGACATTGAGATTGATGTATTTGTGTTTTTTTTTATTTAGTATATAAGAGTGATAATAAGATGTAGAAGAATGTGTTTGCAGACCAGACAGTCCCTCCAAATAAAGACCAGTTGAGAGCTATGTTTTATTGCTATATTAAAATGCATCAGGATTGGAATTATTGTTATTATCGATACATTTGCTGAAATAAAACTAAAACTGATTTTGAAAGTCAATCTTACCTAAGTGATTTCAAGCACTTACCAGTGATTCCCATTTGTCTAAGCCCCGATTCACTGTACATTTGCTCATGTATCAATAGTGGTGTGACCCTCCTGCGCTCCAAATGTGTGTTTAAAACAAACTAATTAATATGAATGAACCCCAAACAGCTGCTAGCATTAAAAATGTTTATACCAGTGATCAAGTAAATATAAACCATATAATGCTGCGCTACATTCAAACTTATTTAAGTGAATGTGGAATCCAATAACTCAAATCAAAGTAAAGTGACAATAATAATGAAAATAAAAATATGTGCTTAATGATAACAAAATTACCAAATAAACCACCCAAACTAATGAAAAAGCACAAACTTAAATCTATACGTATGTGCATGTATGTGCAGGTAAGCTTTGGAGTTGGGAAAATCCTTCCTATTGATCTCTTAAAAGATCCTCACAATGGAAGCAAGTCATGGGTTAGATTCCCTATGAAATTGTTATTGCGATCTGTGTTTCCCCTGGGCAGATTCACCTTCTATGTCCTGGTAACATACTATACTTGGAGAAGAGCCTGAGTGGGAATACTAAATCCTGAAAAGTGGTTTTGGAGTGCTGTGGTGCCTGGAGGATCTGTGAGAGGGATCCATTACTGCTCTTTGACCCGCAAGGGTCGAAGTGATGAGGTGAGAGGCTAATCCAGAAGGTGGTTGGCATTTTCATAAGCTCTATCTACACCCAGATATCTGCACGATTTGTTTCACTTGTGGTCACCTTACAGTATTATTGAAACACTGTTTACAGTTTTGTTCACCTTCAACATTTCATTATTGGACTTTGAGTTTGCGTTTATTATTTAGTCATCATTTCACTTCACATTGTGCACGTGTGATGTAAATATATGTATGTGTATTTCTCATGCACATACGTATAGCTTTAAGTTTGTGCTTTTTCATTAGTTTGGGTGGTTTATTTGGTAATTTTGTTATCATTAAGCACATATTATTTATTTTCATTATTATTGTCACTATTTTTTGATTTGAGTTATTGGATTCCACATTCACTTAAATAAGTTTGAATGTAGCGCAGCATTTATATGGTTTATATGTACATTTGCTCATGTATTTACATAAAATTAATTTGTTTATTCTCTCTGTAATATTCTTTACAGATTATTTAAAGAGTGTGAATCTAAGACAGTAAATGTGACTATAGCTATTAGAAAATGTTTCTCTCTGCTGTCTGCAGGTGGCAGTCTTATATAATATAATGGACAACACTGATAGCAGTTTTTTTCACAAAAGGTAGCAAAATAGTATGATGTAAGCCAGTGTTTCCCAAACTTTTTTCAGTAAAGGCACTCTTTAAATTAATGAACAATCTCAAAACACCCTCTAAAATTATGGACAGTCTCAAGGCACCCCATTCTAAAATGTGAAAAAACTACTCTAATAGTTTTACATAATGCGTCAACATCCACACACGTAGGACATCCAATGATAAGTACCTGAAATAATAATGTTAGAAGTGATTTATTCTTCCAACTCAAATACACTTTTCCACACTGGTACTGACTAGTGTTTCTCTTCTCTGCAAATTTTTTCTCCATCACTCAGCTAATGTGACCCCTGCGCTCTAAGAGACAGGGTAGTGGAGGGTCAGACAATGATGCTGTGCTGATAACCAACATCCTCCTTATCAACTGATGATGTCATTGGTTGTTTGCATGCAGACGGCTAGAAGGTCATAATGATGTACAATGAAAACCCATGGCTCTGTGTAAGGGCAGGCTTGATCCACCTCTGGCTTGTATACAATTTTTGTGCAATTTTTAGGCATTTTGCCAAGGCACCCCTAAAGAAACCTCCAGGCACCCTGGTTGAAAAAGTCTGGTGTACGGAAATGAAAAATAGGTAGCAGGCAACTCTTACATTTACATTATACAGGTGAAACTCGAAAAATTAGAATACCGTGCAAAAGTTAATTTATTTCAGTAATGCAACTTAAAAGGTGAAACTAATATATGAGATAGACTCATTACATGCAAAGCAACATAGTTCAAGACGTGATTTGTCATAATTGTGATGATTATGGCTTACAGCTCATGAAAATCCCAAATCCACAATCTAAGAAAATTTGAATATTACATGCAATCAATAAAAAAGGATTGTACATAGAACAATATCGGACCTCTGAAAAGTATAAGCATGCATATGTACTCAGTACTTGGTTTGGGCCCCTTTTGCAGCAATTACTGCCTCAATGCGGTGTGGCATGGAAGCTATCAGCCTGTGGCACTGCTGAGGTGTTATGGAAGACCAGGATGCTTCAATAGCGGCCTTCAGCTCTTCTGCATTGTTCGGTCTCATGTCTCTCATCTTTCTCTTGGCAATGCCCCATAGATTCTCTATGGGGTTCAGGTCAGGCGAGTTTGCTGGCCAATCAAGCACAGTGATCCCACGGTCATTGAACCAGGTTTTGCTGCTTTTGGCAGTGTGGGCAGGTGCCAAGTGCTGCTGGAAAATGAAGTCAGCATCCCCATAAAGCTCGTCTGCGGAAAGAAGCATGAAGTGCTCCAAAATCTCCTGGTAGACGGATGCGTTGACCCTGGACTTAATGAAGCACAGTGGACCAACACCAGCAGATGACATGGCTCCCCAAATCAACACAGACTGTGGAAACTTCACACTGGACTACAAGCATCTTGCAGTGTGTGCCTCTCCATTCTTCCTCCATACTCTGGGTCCTTGGTTTCCAAATGAGATGCAAACATTTCGATCATCAGAAAAGAAGACTTTGGACCGGTGAGCAACAGACCAGGTCTGTTTTTCTTTAGCTGAGGTAAGACGCTTCTGATGTTGTTTGTTGTTAAGGAGCAGCTTGACAAGAGGAATATGACATTTGAAGCCCATGTCCAGGATCCGTCTGTGTGTGGTGGCTCTTGATGCACTGACTCCAGCCTCAGTCCCCTCCTTGTGAAAGTCCCCAACACTTTTGAATGGCCTTTTCCTGACAATCCTCTCCAGGCTGCGGTCATCCCTGCTGCTTGTGCACCTTATTCTTCCACACTTTTCCCTTCCACATAACCTTCTATTAATGTGCTTTGATACAGCACTTTGGGAACAGCCAACTTCTTTTGCAATTTCCTTTTGAGGCTTTCCCTCCTTATGGAGGGTTGTCAATGATGGTTTTCTGCACAACTGTCAGGTCAGCAGTCTTTCCCATGATTGTGATTCCTACTGAACAAGACTGAGAGACCATTTAAATGCTCAGGAACCCTTTGCAGGTGTTATGGCTTAATTAGCTGATTAGAGTGGGACACTTTGAGCCTAGAATATTGCACCTTTTCACAATATTCTAATTTTCTGAGATTGTGGATTTGGGGATTTCATGAGCTGTAAGCCATAATCATTACAATTATGACAAATCACAGCTTGAACTATCATGCTTTGCATGTAATGAGTCTATCTCATATATTAGTTTCACCTTTTAAGTTGCATTACTGAAATAAATGAACTTTTGCACGATATTCTAATTTTTTGAGTTTCACCTGTAAGATATTTGCTCTGAAATGTACAACATTTTTGTATTTATTAATAATGGAGGATCCCACTCATGATATTAGCAGTATGTACAAATACGAATCCAGTAAGATTGTCTCAGTCACACCTGTGCAGGTCATTTGGCTATCTGTCTGTCTATTTTAGTTCAGGCATGTGATTCACAGCAAAAAATTAAAGTGGTATTAGTGCCTGGTCATAGCGGTGTGATTTCAGGTGCGATTTGCGAACTGAAATCGCATCTACTGTAATGAATGTGAATATCAGTGCGATTTGCTGCAGCGCAATCTCTAAAGTAGTTCTTGCATTACTTTTTCTGCAGCTTATTGCTATTTCACATACATAGAATATAATGGAAATCACAATACAAATTGCAAGAAATCATTGAAAATCTTGTAAGTTACAATAAAGTCTTTAGAAATCGCACCTGAAATCACGCTGAAATCACACACAAATTGCGCAATTTTAAATCACAGCAGTGTGACCGGTGACTAAAAGTATTACTAAACCCACAACAGTAAAATCGATCTGTATATGCAGTAAGGCATGCATGTTATACTCACTGTGGAACCTAAGGGGTTAATCCTCCTTTTGTGTAAAAAGGCTGTTTGATCCTGTCTTTTCTGATTCTCCCCTTCTTCTACTGTCCCCAACCCATCTGGTGATAGAACAGAGAACAGAGGGGGCAAGCTGCACATGCTCAGTTTAGTGTGTATTGCTAGAGAGTTTTTTTGTCTTTTGGAGGGTGCATGTGATCAGCACAGGGCCAATCAGCACTGTCCAGACAGAGGGTCAGGGATTATGCAGCCTCATAGGACAATCATGGGAGAATAAAAACTCTGACTTTTAAAAAAAACGGACACTTACCTGTCCCTCAATCCCACGGTGTTCTCACATCGGCCAGGTTGACCCACCATTCTGTCTCCTTGGCGCCGGCATCTTCAGTGTGGGCACCCAGCTGTGATAACTTGCAGCTTCACAGCCGGGTTCCCACTGTGCATGCACGAGTAGTGCTGTGCTTTGTGAATGGTCCCATAGTCTTCTAGGACCTGTCACCTGTCCCAAAAGTCTACAGGGAGGGGGGGGGGCTTCTTCAGTGTGGGCAGGTGGGACAGATTCCGTTTCCAATTGACTTAGGCGATCGCAGCGGAAGTGGGAGCAGGTACCTGTCAAATTCAGATACCCCCACCACTCCCCAAAGGTACCAAATTTTAACGGGGAGCAGGGGACGAAGCCTTAAAGTGGAACTTCCCTTTTTGGGTGGAGCTCTGCTTTAATTGCCATAAATCTTAGAAGAATGTCAATGTTAAAGTTGGTTTTTGGTATTATGGAGCCAGGTGGATCATTGCATAGGGCTTTAGTGCCTATACCAATTCTAAAAATGATTTTGCACACCCCCTGATCCCTAAGGCTAACCTATTCTTGCCACAACCTCAAAGTTATCACAAGATAAAATGTAACCAGACTTGTAAATAATCCCTTGACCGCTTATTTGCTTCTCATTGTTGCCGGTGTCTTCAAGTTGGTTACAACCACTTCTTGCCTACATAAACTCATTCCAGCATTGGCAGCAGACCATTGATATAGACTGTTATGTGACAAGGTGATAGAGCAGGAGCAACATGAGAAGACTGTTGTGACCCCATAACAGAGAATGGCTGAAAATGAGCTATCATGTCAGGATCACCAGATATTCTTTTTGACAGGCAGTGGAGAGGCGATATGTTGCCTCCTCACTGCTTTTTGTAACCCCCTAAATACCACACTACTGCGCTGCAACCTCATGCATTGTACTTGGTTGCTGGGCGGTTGCAATACAGTCCCATTCACTTGGACAGCCACTGGCAGCATGTGCACACCCCCCCCCAGTCAATGTCTTTGCAACCTAAGAAGGAGTAGTTGGGGGGTGCATGTTTTTACAACCCCCCCCCAACTGTAAGTGAAAATGTAGTAGCCCAAAAATCTAAAAGGAAACTGTATCCAAACTTCAAAATTAAAGTGGGCACATACTGCAACTTCTATGAGCTCTTCATAAAATCAAAGGCATTTTATGTGCTTAAACTAGATTGTCACTGAAATTTACAATTGTAATTAATTAGTTAATTGCTCGTTCCCTTCCTTTCAGCACATTGCAATATACTTTAGCGGACATAAATTTTATGGGGAGCACAGCCCTGTGCTTCTATCTTTCTGGTCAAGGAGAGAATGACATCCCCCTGCATCTAAAGCCCCTTGGGAGTTACCATCATGCATCCCAAAGAGGCTTTGGGGATATGTGGAAGACACTATGTATGCCCAGTAAAGCATCATCAAGGGGCTGGCTGCTAGGACCCGGAAGAGATAGCTGGCCCCCTGATGACATCAGCAAAGGAAATGGTGGTACAGGAACTAGCGCGTTGAGGGCATTACAGCAGGACAATGTTGGATTCATTGGGTGGTTGAGCATGTGTTTGAAGATAAAAAATGGGGAAAAAAATATCATGGGGGTGGAGCAGGGTTGTTTGCAATTCCTTTTATAACATATAGAAGCTTCCCCAACTCATGTTAGTATAGTTGTTAGCATGCATGTAGGGTGATATTATTGTGGCTCACATTGATATTACTCCATGCAATTGTTATAACTTTAAGTGATATTATGGGTTAAATGAAAATAAAAAAACCCAAAACAAACAAACATGTTATACTTACCTGCTCCGTGTAATGGTTTTGCACAGAGCAGCCATGATGCTCCCCTTTTCGGGTCCCCCACCAGTGCTCCTGGCTCCTCCTTTTCTTCAAGCGCCCCCAGAGCAAACCGTTTGTCCATACGACACAGAACAGGGCTCGGCTCTGCCCCCCCACTTCCTCCTCACTGGCTGTGATTGACAGCCGTGGGGGCCAATGGCTCCCACTTCTGTCTCTCAGGCAATGAGGATGCAGAGACACGGGAGAACAGCTGCTCTTATGCACATCACTGGATCAGGCTCAGGTAAGTATTAGTAGGGGCTGAGGGGGGAGCTGGATACTGAAGGTCTTTTACCTTCATGCATAGGATGCATGAAGGTAAATAACATTCAGACTTTAGAACCACTTTATCAAATCAGGAGTTGGTCATAAACAGACTGAAATTTGTGAAGGGGTGCAGTTCAATTATTGTGTGGTCATCCCTGTTTGACAGAAATTGATCATTAGATGGACTTCTGTTGAATGGACAAGTTGGAAAACATTGGTTGATTAGTGTATTCTGCCAGCATCTGGTCCCACTGAATACAATGTCCTGTCAGGGATAATTCCTCCATCCTCCTCATTTGTGTGGATGGAGGAATCTGTTCATTTTTTTCCTTCAGCCCGCAGAAAAAAAAATACTAATCTATAGTCAGCCCTACTTGTGGCAAGCTATGCCCTTCTAATACAAATACATTAGTGGTTCATATAGTGAACTCGGTGTAGAGCTATTCACCCTGAGGTCATCACAGAGGACAAGGGGGCACTCTTTATGTCTGGAGGAAAAGAAATGTAATCTCCAAACACGGATAGGTTTCGTCACAGTGAGAGCTGTGAAAATGTGGAATAGACTCCCTCAAGTGTTGGTTCTAGCCAGCTCAGTGGATTGCTTCAAAAAAGGCATGGATTATTTCTTAGATACACAGAATATAACTGGAAACTAACTGTCACGGAGTGCCCGTGCCTTCCACACCCCCCTTTGCCTGCTGTTCCTCGGCCATATCCCTCCACCCCTCCCTCCCCCCTTGCACATTCCTCTGTCCTTGTAGCTTCCATGAACGGTGCGGGGCCGGCAGTTGCCGAGGCAACCTGGCAGCGTCCCGCACAGCTTTTAAGAAGACTGGCACAGGAAGCAGCCCTCCTCTTTGTTCCGGTGCACGCTGCTGGAATCATCTATCTCCCTGAAAGCCGCTGGGAGGCTCGGGTGGGGGAAACCGAGCCTCCGCAGCCATCCCCGCTGCACACTCCACAGACCCCCAAAAGGTCAGGACTGTAGCCTTCTGCAATACCCCAGGGTTGGGAGTACCCGCTGCCCTCCGCTGAATGTCCCAGGGTGGGAGTCTCCTCAAAGGTCAGACCCCACAGCTGAAACCCTACCTGAGACCCTCCAGCTGAGGGGACACTGCCTGCCAGTTACCTGAGACTCCCAAGCTAAGGGGAGGCCGCCTGACCCTACTTGAGACCCTCCAGCTGAGGGGAAACTGCCTGCCAGCTACCTGAGACCCCCAAACTAAGTGGAGACCACCTGACCCTACCAGAGACCCTCCAGCTGAGGGGAAATGCCTGCCAGCTACCTGTGACCCCCCCCAGCTAAGGGGAGACCGCCTGACCCTACCTGAGACCCTCCAGCTGAGGGGACACTGCCTGCCAGCTACCTGAGACCCCCCAAGCTAAGGGGAGACTGGCTGACCCTACCTGAGACCCTCCAACTGAGGGGTGAGTTGTCTGCCTGTTGCCCGAGACCCCTGCCCAGGGGTAGGTTACCCGCCTGTTGCCCAAGACCCCTGCCCAAGGGTAGGTTCCCCGCCTGTTGCCTGAGACTGCAGTCCAGGGGTAAGTTGCCCGCCTGTTGCCCAAGACCCCTGTCCAGGGGTAGGCTGCCTGCCTGTTGCCTGAGACCCCTGCCCAGGGGTAAGACTGACGTCTGTTGCCCGACACCCCTGTCCAGGGGTAGGTTGCCCGTCTGTTGCCTGAGACCCCAGCCCCGGGAGTAGATTGCTGCCTGTTGCCCGAGACCCCAGTCCAGGGGTAGGTTGCCGCCTGTTGCCCGAGACTCCAATCCGCTGTGCAGTCACGGAGGGAGCCCAGCTGAGACGGGACCCTCGTGACCAGTCTCTGCCTGGGACCCCCCAAGCCTAGGAGGGAGATTGCCTGCCTGTTGCCCGAGACCCCTGCCCAGGGATAGGTTGTCTGCCTATTGCCAGAGACCCCTGCCCAGAGGTAGGTTGCCACCTGTTGCCCGAGACCCCTGTCCAGGGGTAGGTTACCCGCCTGTTACCTGAGACCCCTGCCCAGGGTTAGGTTGCCCGCCTGTTGACCAAGACCCCTGCTCAGGGGTAGGTTGCCCGTCTGTTGCCCAAGACCCCTGCTTAGGGGTAGGTTGCCGCCGCTGACCCCTGTCCAGGGGTAGGTTACCCGCCTGTTGCCCGAGACCCCTGCCCAGGTGTAGGTAGCCCGCTGTTGCCTGAGACCCCTGCCCATGGGTAGGTTGCCACCCCGAGACCCCAGTCCAGGGGTAGGTTGCCGCCTGTTGCCCGAGACTCCAATCCACTGTGCAGACATGGAGGGAGCCCAGCTGAGGCGGGACCCTCGTGACCAGGCTCTGCCTGGGACCCCCTAAGCCTAGGGGGGAGATTGCCTGCCTGTTGCCCGAGACCACTGCCCAGGGGTAGGTTGCCCGCCTGTTGCCCAAGACCCCAGTCCAGGGGTAAGTTGCCTGCCTGTTGCCCGAGACCCCAGTCCAAGGGTAGGTTGCCCGCCTGTTGCCCGAGATCCCAGTCCACTGTGCAGTCACGGAGGGAGCCCAGCTGCGGCAGGACCCTTGTGACCGGGCTCTGCCTGGGACCCCCCCAACCCTAGGGGGGAGATCTGAGACCTGCCTCAGGGGTAGATCGCCTTGTGCCCGAGACCCCAGTCCAGGGGTGGGTTGCCTGCCTGTCGCCGGAGACTTCAGCCCGGGGGGAAGATTGTTCACCTGCTGACAAAGACCCCAGTCCAAAGGGTGGGAAGACTGACGCACAAGCCACCCTGCCGGAGATCTGTGTCTGTCCCGGACCTCCCACAGGTATCTGTGTCTTACTTTCTTATT